TAATAACGAGAATGGATCTATGATTACAATGATTACATGCGCATCAGGTTTGGAACATTTGCAAGAGAACAATTGCCCGTTAGGCCCTTCTACCAGTATGTGAATGCCATAAACAGGGAACAGATTTTAAGAACCTAAAAGCCTATAAAAAGGGCCAAAATAAAATAGCGAAATAGGCTAGAAAAAGGCAAAATAGAATAGCGAAATAGGCAGGAAAGGGCACTAGAAATCGCAAAAAATGCAAAAGAAGGCACTAAAAAAAGACAAACACCGAAGTATAATCAAAAGACACATTTATTTTATAAATGTTTATTTTGAGTCAAGTTTTCTCATGTGGCCCACCCAAAGTTGACTTTTCGATTTTTTATATTTCATTGACCGATTTTGAAAGTTAACATGGTGTGCAATATTGACATAGTATTTCAGCAACCATTCATTCGAATCTTATGATTTTTTGACAGCAATTAGAGAACTTATTGGCAACAAAATAAAGTGATAAAGTTGTAAAATTTCTATTCTTGGTTTATAAAAAAATTTATTTTTTAATCAATTGAATTTTTTTACCAACTCCTCATATACCTAGGAAATTAATTCAAAAAGCATTATTTGCGCTAAACATTCAATTTCACTTTCGTAAAAAAAATTACTGTACCTTTGATTGACTTTTTACCAAAAAAAAAAAACAAATTTAAAAAAAATATAATACAAATGAACTGAAAAGCAAAATAAAATAATAATTTGATAATTCTTGATTTGATACTTAAGTGTTAATTTTTTTTTTTGCTTTTCAGCATTGAACGCCGTTTATTCGGCATAGTAGCTAATATTAATATTCTGGACAATCCAAGTTATCCAAGGCGTTGAAACGTACAGAAAACGAGCCGAATGCGAGTTCGAATCCTGCTGAAGTCTAGAGAAAGAAGTCTAGTGATGAGATGTGGTGATCTCCGAAATAGCAATTATAACTTCAATCGCTTATGCTTTGTTGCTTTTTCCATTTTTTCCCAATAAACAAATCGTGGTACAAAGCTCAATGACATTGCTAAAATATAAATATTATTACGCCACAATAATATTAACAAAAATGCTTAAATGTTCGTTCATTTTCGTATCGGAAAAACGTTCGAAATGTAACCTGGAATTTGAAAGCAATAGTTTTTGTTTTATTTGTTCAAACTGACTTCGGCAGTGGCTGAGTGCGCAGAGGAGCGCGACTATTTGTTAGCTTTCCGAAGGTGCCGGGTTCGATTGCCGTCAGACGCTTTCTTAATTTTAATTTACTGTGTTTTTAGTGATAGAACGATAAGAGTACAGAGTACAGAATATCGATACTTTTCATGAGTACGGGTAGTATCGAGAACGCGATACTTTTTGAAAAGTACTGAGTAAGTATCACGCAATGTATATTTTACAAATAGGAAGAGATCATAAAAGCAAAACAATCTGATTTTTGCTTACTTTTCTTTTTCGGCCCCATTTTCGGATTTTTTGCTGGCTTTTACAAACTTCGCAATATGTGATAGTGTGAGCCCACCCACCCGCCACTGATAAGATTTAGACTAACAGATAACCGAACTCCGCAAAATACTGATGGAAATGTCCAATGCGCGCAACCACATTCAAATGCCGAATATGCACTTAGTTGAGCAAATTGGTGTTTTCCATCAATTATAATTTCGAAATAAAAGAGGCTGATGCTTTGCGTTGCGTAAACCGGTGATAGAGTGCCTTGATAAGCTGAACGCGCTTGGTCAGTTTCTCAGTTTTATTAGGTTGGCGATTTTAACTTTTTTCGTCAATTGGAACTGGTGGTCACAGAGCGGAATTTAAAACAAGTTAAATTTATTTAAATGCAAATAATTATACATATGTACATAAAAAAGCCCCTTTGGGGGTCTTGGGGTCCGATCCGCGACCATCAACTTCAAATTGATAAAAAAAAACGCTTAAAATCGAAAAAAAAAACACTGAAAATGTCGTACAAGGTAATGAAGCGGACGATTTTAGAAGAATAAGCATTAGAAGATAATAACGAATAAAGGTTATCCGGCTACAGCCGGTTATTTGTACATACATATGTATGTATGTATGTATGTACGTCATAAATCAAAAACACGTGGTTTAGTGATAAGCGAGAATTCGTAACTATTTATTAGCGACTTTTAATTTAATTTATTGATTTCAATTTGTAAAGAATAAACGTTTATGTGCGTATATGGATGTATACCTACATATGTATATGTATGTCTACAATACCTTTGCTTGCGCGCGTAATAGAAAACTATTGCAATATAAAAATGTAGCTAATGTTCGCGCAGCTCAGCTTTCACGCTTGTTATCTTTATGAGTGAACGGCGGCGCTGAGGTTATACACATCTACACACATACATATGTACGTACATTAGACCGTACCACCTTACAAGCAAATAAAAAAAGCAATTTCGATTTTTTTTTTGATCGCACCTAGGGGTCATCATTTTACATATAAAATGAAATAGTTCTACTGGAATAATCGAAATACTTCTTTAAAAAAAAGTTCAATGATTTTTAGTGAGATCTAATTTATTGGCATTAGAGTGGTAAGTTAGGGTGATAAGAACTGAGATCTTGTTGGCTAGCACTAGAAATCGCCTTACAAAAAAAAAAAACTCGAGATAGATTGGAAGCGAACTTTTTTCTGGTATGGTCTAATGTACATACAGTATCGGTCATATCAATAGCACCCTCATTTCAAAGTGATATTGTTTGCCACTTATGTTTATTTATTTTTTTTATTTTAATTTTGAATCAAAATACAGTTCATTCTCTAATAAAACCCATATAAACCCAAGTTTAAAACTTTATAGAAAACTAAAAAAGAAAAAAAAAATGCATCCAAATTTCAAAAATTTTTCTCAGAAGTGTTAGATTTTTTTATACAGTTTTATAGCCTATTCAATTTTAGTATAATAATGTGCAAGCTTCAAGTGGCTTTAAGTTACCGTTGATTTTTTAGAATTTTTTTGTCGCATTTGCTTCCATATAACGAATGCACCGAATTTATTTTTTTTATGAAAGAAAACAGCAACATCTTCAATTTTGTGCGCTAATTATTAATGAAAATATAGTTCATTCAATAATAGAAACCATATAGATAAATCAAAGTGCCCACTTTATATAAAGTTCACAAAAATTCAAAACATTTTCATACAAATTTTAAAATTTTTATTCAGAATATCTAAGAATAGATTTTGATCGTGCGTTAAAGCTGGGTTATGCAAGACTTAGACTTGACTTGACTTGACTTACCTAGAAACTTATGGCGATTTCGTTTCTACAAAAAATGTTGCCTTCTCATCGCCCTCTTCTTAGTGTTTATGCGTAGAGGGCAAGGAGAAGGTTGCATTTTTCGGTAGAAACGAAGTCGGGATTAGAAACGATTACTCAGCGTGTCACCTATTACCTTTTCTCTCTTGCACTTGTATTATTTGTAGATACAGGTAAAATTGTTAACGAAAATTGTACACCAAAATGGATACAAAATTACCATTAAAATAAATATGGGTATTCTCTGAGTCTTGAAAAGCCCTTGCAGGGTGCACAGATTGCACGGTTTGCAAAGTTGTCCCAT